CCTCCAAGAATCGCGGGATGTCATGCCCGTTCTCGGAGAGCAAATCAAAGAGCTCTCGCGCGATGTTCTTGTTCTTCTCGTTCATGAGGGACAGGGCGTGTCCCACATTGCCCACGCGACCGGTTCGGCCGATGCGATGTACGTAGTCGTCGATGTTGTTGGGCAGATCGTAGTTGATGACTTGCGTCACGTTGGATATGTCGAGACCGCGGGCAGCCACGTCCGTCGCCACCAACACGGGACATTGACCTGTGATTCGCGTCAGTCCGTGTGAGCCGGGTGACGGGGAACGATTCAACACCGCACCTCGCGTGGGCACCACGCCCCTCATCGACGAGTCAAGAGAGAAGGGGCATGGAAAGCGACAAATGATAACGAGAGAATCGTACTTCTCCCCCATCGACCCTCTTCCATCCCTTCTTGGCCCCTCCCCAGCGCTTACCCGTCTTGAAGTAGTGCAGCGCCTCTTCGCGCTCCCGCTGGGTCTTGTCCCCGTGAATCGAGGCGCAGGGGAAGCCCTGCTTATAGAGAAGGCCCTCTAAATAGTCCGCGTCCCGCTTCCGTTCCACGAAGATGAGGATAAGCCCCGAGTCGTCGCACTGGCTCAGGAAGGTGACCAGGTAGTGGATCTTGTCGTGCATCTCCACGTATTCGATCTTCTGGATCACATCCTTGGAGGCCGAGCCCACGCGGCCGACAGCTAAGAAGATGTAGTCCTTCATGAAATCGGCGGCCAGGCGTTGGATGTCGCGGGGGAAGGTGGCGGAGAACATGAAGGTCTGGCGGTCCGTGGGCATGCCCTCTTGCTCCACGATGCGGCGGATCTGAGGCTCGAAGCCCATGTCCAGCATCCTGTCCGCTTCGTCCAAGATCAGAAACCGGATCGAAAGCAGGGAAATCCTGTCGCGCTCGATCAAATCCACCAGGCGCCCCGGCGTTGCCACCAGCAAATCACAGCCGCGTTCCAACTCCCGAAGTTGGTTTCGGACCTCGGCCCCACCGTAGATGACAACCGGGCG